GAGGTTAATTGGTGATTCTAAATTGTCCGTAGGTGTGAATGTGAGTGTGCTTGGTTGTCTGTCTCTAAGTGTGGCCCTGTGATAGACTGGCGACCTGTCCAGGGTGTCCCCTGTCTTCGCCCTAAGTCAGCTGGGATAGGCTCCAGCCCCCCGCGACCCTAGTGTGGATTAAGCGGTGTATAGATAATGGATGGATGGATGGATGGAGAATAATAATAATAAGAAGAAGAAGAAGAAGAATATCAATAATAATTAATAACAATAATAGCATATATAAACCACATTTAAAGGGATCCATGCCAGGACATTTTACAATCTAATTAATGAATCAAAAACTTAGCTTTTGAAAGGCTTTAAAAAAAATAATATTACTAAGCCGAAATAAAATTTGCACACATTTTATATTAACAGTAAAATGACAAAAACCTTGAGTAAAGAGCTTCTTGCTCATCTGAGTTCAGATTTAAAGCAGAAATCTGTTCTTGTGCTCTTTCAGTTTCACAGTTAAGAAGATATTGTATTTCAGTTTTTAAACTGAACTTAGATGCTCACAAAAGTGGTATTTAAAAAAGATTTTAAACTGTATATAGGTTACAATAGTCTTTGTTTGTTAAAAGAGCAGTAGAACTAAATGAAACAGATGGACTTTGTTCGAAAATGTGTTAATAATAAAAATCTAGGCTTGCATCCTTGAAATTAATAAAACATAGGCACCTAAAGATAGAGCAACGTCATGTCTATCAGAAAACACCCTCAAGATTAATGTACTGGACTGTTTGATGGAGAAGCTCAAGCAGCAGCATCAGCTTCACCTGAACTAGGTCACATTTATTCCCCACCCCGCTCTGTTCAGATCTATTTTCCCACCGTCATGGAGGTGATCAGTGTTTCCTGTCTGGGGCACTTTTACTTTGTCCCATTAGGATGACCTGACCTGCTGACAAACTGTTTATAGTCTGTGGTGATAATTAAGTGCAGCAGGTCTGAGTGATGACGCAGATGGCTCTAGTCTATCCTGGTCAACTGTAAGCTGTTTTTAAACCAGAAGAGGCCAACGACCTGCTTAGAGAGTCAAAAGATGCGGCAGGGAAACTAAAACAGATTAAAAGATTCCAACAGGCCTGCAGAGCGTTCTAACAGGTGTCTTCACACATTTTGGCTGATTAGAAAATCGAGTTTTTAACTGAGCTGACTCACATCCCTCAAAATCCTTCCTTTTTGTGTCTCGGGGTGTCTGAATTCTAATAATTTTCTTAAAAAATGCTGCATTTTTAATTGCTGATTTTTTTCTAATATTAACTAAACACACTAGACATTTGTCCTGTGCTGACATTGCTGTTCTAAGCTACAGAGACATGGTAAAAGTCACAAACGCAGCTGTTATAGATGCTACCAAGCTATGGGAATAATTTAATTAGTATGCACTTGTCGAGAGTCATGGTGCCCCTTTACTAGCTAAATCCCCACAATGTTCTCTGCTTACCAACACAAAACTGTCCACCTCCTCTGGCTGCTCTAGTATTCACCAGTACGATGCTCCACTTGGTGGCGCAATTATATATCCAGATATCTAAACAATCTACTATTCTTGAAGTGTGTATTATATCCAGGAAAATGGTACTGGGTATCGACAGATAAGGGGCAAAAGAACATCCCTCGTATAGCCAAAATGTTGAATTAATAAAAATGTAACTTTATTTGATCTCTTAAGTCATTAATCGAACAAAAATGACAAATAACAGCAAATCAAATAACATCGAAAATGTTTGAATTCATCATCTTGCAGAATTATTGTGGTAATTCTACAGTATTTTGTTGTTAGATTTTTTTTTTTTTTTTTAATTTTGCAAGTAAGCAATTTTTGACAATAATTGTTAGTTGCAGTCAAATCTTTTAACATTTGGGGAGTGATTATCTAACATTTGTCCATTGATTTTTTTTTTATTTTTTTTTTTTGGCGCAAACTACCATTTTCTGATTTATTTATTTTTTTACATACATTGCACATGTTTATTTGTAATGTGATTTTATGAAACAGTGGCAAACTGTCAGCATAGTTCAATATTCAGCCTAATAAAAAGACTAATGATCCAGAGTAACAAAACTAAATAATACACATTTGCATTTTTGACTCTAAAGTTTCTTTTAAAGAACAACTTAATGTATAAACTACTCTTGTTTGTGTTGGTGATTTAGTAATGCAGATCTTTTTTGGAAGCAGAAACAATCACGTGGTTGAGTTAAATGTCAGCGACTGGAGAAAAAAGGCTTTTCTGCCTGTGTACTGTTGAACATCTGCTATAAAATACAAGTTTCATGTTTTAATCATGAAAATACAATAAGGGAATCTTTACCATTTATATCCTTTAAATAGAAAGGTCTCTTTTAACTTCAGTATATTCTTTAATTTGCGTTTTGACCCTGATTTCCCTCTAAAGTCTTATTCAACCAATGTCATAATTCTGCAGCAGAAAAGATTTGCAGCAGAAAAATGTTGATTAATCACTACCGGAATCACAAAAGAGTCTCAAATTGACTGTTTATTTCTTTTCTTCTTCTTTCCCACTCTGACAAACACAACAGCTGCAGGAGGAGTCCATCGAGAAAGTGATCAAAGACACAGAGTCGCTGTTTAAGTCCAGAGAGAAGGAATACCAGGAAACCATCGACCAGATAGAGGTGAGACCGTAACAGTCGTCCAAACAAGCGGTTAAAATAATGTAGTATGAGCAGCTGTTGTCAAAGTCATTAATAATAAGTCATTAAATCCAACATGTGTTTGTCTGCATGTCCTGGCCAGCTGGAACTGGCCACGGCCAAGAGCGACATGAACCGTCACCTGCACGAGTACATGGAGATGTGTTCGATGAAGAGAGGCCTGGACGTCCAGATGGAGACCTGCAGGAGACTCATCACACAGAGCGGAGACAGGTAACAAACACACAAAATGTGAATTCAAGCATAACCAACAACTGTCAGAATTTATGGGCTGAAGGAGGCTATGACTGCTGCAGTCTTATTCCAATCGCACAACTTCGATGAGTTGTTCCTTTATCGAGGCTGTGATGTTCAATTTTTGTTTTTTGCAAAGTGAAGGTTGTGGAGTTATTGAACTATTTTGTACCTACAAAATAGTTTTACACTGACAGGAGTTTTTAATAGTTTGTCAAATGTTCACAGTGGCTGAGAGAGCTGATCACACTGTAAAGTATGGAAGCAAATTTAAAAGATCTGTAGTACAATATCTACAGCGCGACTTAGAAAAATGTTATACAAACACTTCTAGGCATGGTCGTGCTGTTTCCACAGAAGTACAGGAACAGTAGTGAAAAAATCAGCCTTGTGAAAATATGGCAAAATTGGAGTTTGCAGGGTTAAGAGAACATTTCCATCAATTTGACATGTATTCTGAAAATACACACAACTATTTCCAGGGTGGAGATACTTGTAGTTCACTTGTAGTTGAGGAGTTGGTTTTTCATCAGTGGAGTTGAAAAATGGGCTAAAATGTTAGTTTTACTTCTGTTAACCTTCATGATGTATAGAGAGAGAGTGTGAGAGAATGCTACTTAAAGATTGTCACCATAACAAAATCTTCCTTAGACATTTTACTCTTTTTATTATTGTAGATATAAACTACCCTTATGCTAATGATTGGCCTGCCAATACAAACAATGTGATGTGGTTTAGAATGTTTTCACCTCTATGTAGTTTTAGCTCTATATGTCCTCCAGAGCCACCAGATTCTGTTGATATAAGCAGTCATTTTACATTAATTCAATTCAATTCAATTCAATTTTATTTGTATAGCGCATATTTACAACAACAAGTCATCTCATAGCGCTTCACAAAGGCAGAAACAGAAACACCCAACAATCCAAAACATTTGGATTCCCTATAAGCTTCAGCAGTCCGCAAGCAGTCCGCAACAGTGGGAAGGAGCCGAAAACCCCCACAGGGGAAAAAAAACCTCCGACAGAACCAGGCTCAGGGAGGGACGGCCATCTGCCTCGACCGGTTGGGTGGATAATTACCAAGCAGTTGCCAGTTAGTTAATTTATTAAATGGTTACTCTGGAGCTAAACTACCGTCCTAAAGCACCAACGTCACACAGCGATAGACCTGTAACTCCCATGTTCTGATGTGAATTTGTTGTTTTTTTGTCAACGGAGTCTGGTGCTTCTAAAGAGAGCAATATAGCAGCTTCAGTTTCCCGTCAGAAAGGCGGTCAAGCAGGACGGTAAAGCAGTGAAAATATTCTAAAAACAGCATACACTGAAAGTGATATTGATTTTGTTGAGCTGAAATGATTTTTTGCTGCCGACCCCATCCACAGCAGTTCATTGCTTTGCTTCTGTGCTCGTACTGTTTGCTTCTCCAAACTGGGGTAGCATCAACAGTGGGCTGCTGGTGGTAGGTACAGGAAATATAGTGATTATTGCGACAACACTTCTTCAAGAAGCGAAAATATGCCTTTAAGGCCGCCTCTAACTATTAGTCACTTGGAACTTGCATGAAAAAGTGTGAATAGTGTTGAAACTTCCTCTAGAGGGCTCTCAAGATTGAATTCTAAGTACCTGATAAATGTATCTGTTTAGCGATGGATGTTCCAGTTTAACATAGATTAATACAGAACTTTACACTCTATACAGCATGGATGGACTTTAGAGGGATAAAAGGGATTTATCTTACAAAAAACAGACATATTGATCTGTGTTTTGAATGTAACATTTTACGAGAAGTACATCACAAACAGTGACTGCGAGGAGGCCCAAAAAAAACAGCAAAAAGATGCAACAACAGTGCAGCTTTTAGCGACTACAAGCCTGTATTCTTCTCTCTACTCTGCTTCAGGAAGTCCACGTCTCTCATCCCGCTGACGGTGGACGACTCGGACAACGAAGAGAAGGAGAGGAAAAAGCCGGCTCTACCTGCCGAGTCCGAGAGCAGCGATTCCTGCTGCGATGTCAACGCCGCCATCCCTCCTCTGACCTGGAGGAAACCCTAACACTTGCTGTCGCTGCTGATACTCCATCTAAAGCTGCTTCAGAGCCTAAAATCAATGCAGAAAACAAACACAAAAAATAAAATTACGGCTCTGGGGTTTTTGTTTAACTGGGGTATATATAATTTTAAAAGCAGCAGATGTAAAAGGTCTTTTCTTGATCTTTAAGCAGCCAATCTGGTCACAACATCGGCCGACGTGGCAGCAGGAGGATTAGAGAGGACTTGTTTCTGTTTTAAGCTGCAAAAAAGTTTCTCCAGCTTCTTTACAAACCCATAATGTGCTTGCAAGGATATATTATTGACATATGAATCAACTTCCAAGGCTGTTGTTTGAGGATTTGAGCTGCATTAGAAAAGGCAATAATGTGCAAGTGCTGCCCTCCTGTGGTTAGCAACTGTAACTACACTGAAGGTCAAACAGAACCAAGCTGCACTTTTAAAAGAATTTTCCTATTTCTTCTATTTTCCTGTGATTAGATGAATGGGATGTTTTTCGTTTTAAATTTTATTTTGCACCCAGGGAGCCTATTATTTGCACAAGTTTCTGTAATATTGCCTTTCGGCTGCAGGATCAAACCAGTGCACAGAGAGGCAGCAATGCACAAAGAAAATACACAGTTTTGCACATATTACCATTTTAAACTTAATATTACAGAGTGAACTGTTTATTCTATCTTTTTTTTTCATTTTATTCTGTGTTTATATGTTATTATTTAAAATGTTTAAAGCTAAAGTTTAATTAATAAAATATGAGCCAGTTCCTATTTTGGGGGGAATTTACTGTAATAATAATAAAAAAAAACTTCAGCTATTAAAGCCCAATTTGCCTTAAACTGACGCCAACATTTGAAAAAATCTGATGCCTTCCACGGTGGCATGAAACGTGGATGTTTGTCACGTGTCTAAAGCGTGATGTTTTATTAGTTTGATTTTCCTGCTTTCCTTCTGATGGATTTAAAGCAAATTAACATTATTACTAACCTGAATTATATTTATTTGAATAGTTGTTCTTTTTTTTTTTTAGATCTTAGAATTGTTTGTCTGCATCCAAAATGGCAAAACGTACTCGGGGCAGCAGCTTAGCTTCTCAATTGTTTTGGCAAATTTAAGGATTATAACTCTCTAAGGACAAGTTTACATTCAGTTACAGACAGATGCACATGGTAGGTTTGTAAAGGCTGATTCTGGCTAGTCTGTTGACCTAAAATATAAAATTTGACTGTTTCTAGGTTAAAAATAAGATTGAATTATATGACTAGAGTTTTTCTCCACTAAAATTATGTTTCTGGCATTTTTATGCCATTATGTACACAGGAAAATATATGGAAGATTTCTGCAGACATGTAGGGAAAACTATCCAAATTTGCAGTCACAGCAGCTTTCTGTTGAAAAACGCTGTTGTTTTAAACGCAATATTGCAATTTAAGTGCAATATAAATAAGATTAACTTTCCAAATTTACCAGACTAATTTGAATATTAAAGGTTAAAACTATACAATAACATGTATACTTTAGTTAACACAAGCTGGACCGACAGACACAGAAGTCTGACTTCTTTTGTTCAACTTGTCCAAAGCTGAAATTATCCATAAACTTGACCAAGAGTTAGTTTTTTTTTGGATTTGATTTGATAATTGCATCTAAAGCAAAATCTGAGACAAAACATGTTTGGCTTGTAAAACTTGAAGGACAGATAAACTGCAAAAAAAACAAAAACAAAAAAAACAACAACAAAAAACAGTTAAGGCCTATAATTTCAGTCTTTTTCTTTGCTAAACTGAGTGTTGGAAAAAAAAATCTCGGATTAAAACTGAGATAGGAATTTGTTTTACACTCGATGGTTTTTTGTGCAAAACATAAAGAGAAGGCATTATAAACCCACCAGACTCCACGTCTGGATTGGCTATTATTAATATTACTAGTGCAAGTCAACAGATTCTCTATTGATGACTCTCAAAATCCTAAACAACCAATCTCATTCATTTCTTCTGTGACCTGACAGATTTGTTTGTCTGTGACTTTGAGAGCGCTTTATTTTACAAAATTAAAAAACCTATTTTAAGAAATCTTTGTCCTGTAAAATGTACAGTTTGTAAAGGCTAAATACTGTATCAAATGTACATAATAATGCTGTGTATAATGCTCGACTGTAGATGCTGTAAGCTTCATGTCTTAAGATGTACATTTAGCTGATTTAGATTAATGCAATTTAACATTTTATTTAGGCCTTTTCTTAGGTCTTTAGGTGCTGTTGCCATCAGTTGAATTAGACCTATTTGTAGTGTCACAGCAGTAAAGCCAGCATCAGTGTAGTTTTAGAAAAGTCGCCTTTTCGTAGTTGTTCCAGAGCAAATACGCCTCCAGAAATGATTACAACTGACGGGATCTGAAGCCTCCATCAGGATTTAAAATGTGTTTTATGCTGGTTTTCCTGTCTTTGCTGATGCTGCAGTGAATGTTTTCCAGTTTAAGGTTCACCTCTTCAAACATCGTCACATCTTTGATTACATGAATGTCTGCTTGTTCAATAACCTGCCGTGTTCATCACAGAAAATAGACCCATTAAAGGAACACTTTTCATTTCAGTCGTGTCGTTTTCTTCGCTGAACGCATTTGCAGTCCTTCTGTAAAATGGGTTCACATCTACTATTTTTGACACATTGATCTCTGCTCAGTGATGACATCGACTGAAATGAAAAATGGCATATTGTTCCTTTAATGTCGTGCAAAAACAAAGTAACTGCAAGTATGCAATAGACGAAAGCAAAGTAGGCAAACATCACTCACCTTGTGAAACAGTGCAGATGCTGCTTTAAGTGAAATGTCGATATCTATATAATCCGAATGTGTGTAGAATCTGTGGAGAGGACAGAAAGGAAGAATTCATGAAACAGGAATTAGAGCTCAGGAATGACAATGTAACGCAAGACAGAAAAGCCAAATAAATCAGTTGAAGAACGAACTGCGGATTCAATCCCCAGCAGTAGAAACTCAAGAGTGTGTGAACAAAATGCCACAAAACTGAAGCTGCTGTGCTCTCTGTGGCAGTTTTGAAGCAGGAATTCTGGGTATTTTGTTTGTTTTCTTGGGGTCATTAGCTGTTGGTGTGCTGAGCTGTATGTTTGAGGAGTTTACTGAAGCCAAATGAAAAGATGCACAGAATAAATGACATTTAAAAAAAAATAAAAAAATGTTTTTTGACTTTTTTGTTTACAGTGACAGTAAGTAACTACCTGATCTCCAGAAGAAAAAAAAATATTTATATATATATGTATACTGAATACACTTTTCAGAGCTACATTTTATTTATGAGATATGATGCATCTGTTAATGGCAGAATAAATATGTGGTTTCTTCACCTGATTTAAAGTAGCTCTAGAAGTATTGCACTACATATGAAAGAACTGCCTTCTTTTGACTTTTACTGAATTAAACAACAAGTTACATATGCAAATATTAATAATTATTAACATAAGTAAAACATATTCCATTACATGAAAAACTGAATGTGCTGAATACACGTACTACTTTTAACTACGCTAATAATTTTCTAAATACTTTATTATAACGTTTTTAACGGCAAACTATACTGTGATGTTTGTAACTACACACAACACCATGACATTTTCGTGGCATACTATACTAGCTTGTTGTTGATGACTGCTCAACTACTCAACTGCTCCCTGGTGAT